CAAGTTGTGTTCAGCGTTCATAATTCGACGGCATTTGAAGGTGTTTGGAAAATATGAACCTTCCGCTCATTGCGTGGCTCATGAAACGAGTGATGAACTCACAACAGATAGTGAGAATGATGAAAGTTCTTCTGAGACAGAAGGCTGCAACAGTGGAGATGAAGAGAATGCCGGAGAGGGTGATCAGCTAAGCCAATGTGAACTTGAAGGTGAACATGATCAAAGTGATCCCCAATTAGAGGAGGGCTCATCAGCAGACAACGTTTGTGATGATGATGCAGTTGTTGAACATGATGATCCATCGAGTGATGAAATCGATGAGTCGGAGGATTCAGATGTTCAGTTAATCTACAGTGATTCAGATGATAGTAGTTTGACAGATACAGAATCGGAAAATGACGGTGAAGGAAATGTGTACAACAGTGACTTTGCAAAGTTACCTCTCTATGAAAATTCTCCTGTGACCGTCCTGCAGGCTTTAGCAGGATACTTGGCATGGTTTTCTCAGCATCCCAGTGCAAGCAAGACCTCCATTACTGAGCTGTTGCAGTTGCATCAGAAATTTATTCTTCCATCTCCAAACGACTTGCTATCATGCTATGATGAGGCATTTAAGCTGATCAAGCCATTCCTCTTGCCTTACATTTCATATGATGTTTGCATCAATGAATGTGTGGTGTTCAGGAAAACAAGCCGGTATGATCACTCTAAGTTAAAAGAATGCCCAACTTGTGGAGAAAACCGATTTAATGCTAGCAGAATTGCTAAACGGAAATTTAGCTATTATCCACTTGGGCCTCGTTTGAAGAGAATGTTTGCCACCAGCAGCATCTCCCAATGTCTTCAGGCCCATGCAATCTCTACTAATGATCCTGATATCACAAAGTACGATGTGCATGATTCTCCTTTATGGAAGAAGGCTTTTACCGAAGATGGTTTTTCTAAAGGAGACCCAAGAGGGATTTTGTTACAACTTTGTACTGATGGGGTCAACCCTTTCAGCTCAAACAAAGTGAATTATACTATGTGGCTGATAATGTTCAGTGTCTTAAACCTCCCAAAACAGGTCAGAAACACCTACCAGAACATAATGTTGGTTGGAATTGTACCCGCACAAGTAGAGGGTAAGGAACCCAAATCACTTGATCCTTACATAGAGATTGTTGTGGATGAACTGCTGGACTTGTCAGAAGCAACATTCTATGATGGTTATCGGAGAGCTGAATTTACCTTCAACATTGACATTTTTAACTACGTCCTGGACTACCCTGGACTAACGAAAGTTCTTAGTGCTGCTGGGCCTAATGCCCTTCAGGGATGCATGTGGTGTGAAGAAAGAGGTACATGTACAACTTGTACTTACAATATGGTCCATTTTTATATCAATGAATAGTTTGTTTACCATAATTTTAAAGCAGTTTGATTACAATGCACACTATCTTTCTCTTAGTTGTAAAGTTATGTCTATTTCTTGAAAATTCTAGCTTTCTCGTAATGCCTTGAATTGGTTTTTGAGGGGAGAGCGCGTAAAATTTTGATACTAGGTGTAAAATTTTGCATGTGTATTCTCAATTTCCAAGCCCTGGATAGTTTCATTTTTCCATTGTTACATGTATGTTGTTTCAATTTATAGTCACAGTGAAGTTAGACATACATGCTACATTATTACATTTAATTGTTTCTTTAATAGGGAAATATGTACCCTCACTTGACAAGGTTGTCTATCTGGAAAACAGGCGGTTCTTGCCAGAAGGCCATGAGCTGCGAAAAACTAAAGGATTTCCTGGAGTTGAACATGAAACCCGTGAAAAGCCAAACTGCTTGACCAATGAAGACATTCTTTGGAGTGCTGTAGCTCACAGTAGGGCCAAAAACAAAACTCAGGCAAGCAATGTTTTGAAGGTAAAATGATTTTTTAAGAGATCTTGTACAAAAATATAAACAGTTATTTACAAAAAAGTTGCTCTGAGAGAGAGAGATATATGTATAGAAAGTTAGGACAGATATGCTGCACCAGTGAGCCGTGGCGCTCCTTTTGTTTTGCAGTTTTGTGCCCGAGTGTGCTAATCCCGTTGTTGCCTGATAGGAAATGAGACCCGAGGTCCATTTCCACTCAAGACACTAATCTACCAGAGCACTCTTTTTGCAAATGACTGTATTTATCAATATATGGACAAACTGGAGTGCAGTGGAAAGTTATATGGCAAGCTGGGTTGGTGCACAAGAGTGCTTACAGCTAAATGTAGTTCTACA